ATATTTAAGCATACAGTAAATATGACGCCGAAGCAAAAGTACGTAATATTGATTTATCAATTGAAAAGTGTCTCACTGAGGGCGTCCACGTAAATCAGTGTTCATAGTTGAGCTAAGTCAGAGAAGCAWTACTGTAATTCTTATATATATTTTCTGTCCCCCATGCTCCTCTTCGGCCCAAGCTTCAAAGTGATATAAACGCTTTTTTTGAAATAACTACACAGCATTTTTTTCTTAAGCTGTATACATCTGCTATCCTGCTTTTAACCCCTTTTTCTTTGGCGGTTTCCAAAAGAAATATAATAATCCAGATAGAACCCAATTACCAAAACATCCATGTTTGCAGTTAAGTTAATACAACAATAAAACAGCCGCAGCAAAAGGAGCCGACAAGCTGGGCTGTTCTTCTAATAACTGTTCTTGCACGAATTTTTTCCTGGGAAAGGGATTTTGGGCTTCATTGTTGACAAGCAAATGTGGCGCCCTTGCTTCTTTAAAATAGTAATTTTGTTCCTGGCAAACGTTTTTATATAACGTTTTCATGGTCAAAAACGGCTTATAAATTTTTTACAGTTATGTAAAAAGATAAATTTAACACCGTAAAAAAGTATGTGGAATAACTTACTGACGTTTCGGATGTTAATCCTTCGTCGGAGTATACCTAGTTCTCTCGGAGTATACCTAGTTCTCTCTCTTTACTCCGACGAAGGATTAACATCCGAAACGTCAGTAAGTTATTCCACATACTTTTTTACGGTGTAAAATTTATCTTTTTACATAACTGTTTCTTTAGAAACACCGACGCAGCTCACACTAGTTTACCGCTAGTTCCCACCATTTTATAAATTTTTTAGTTAGAAAAGTTTTATTTTCCTTGCAAAAATGGAGATTTTTTTTCCCTGAATTTCTCGCTGGCAACCAGTTGTTACTTACAGCTGGATGGGACATAAGAACAGATATAATTCTCCCAGGAACCCGTCGGCTCCTCCTACAGCAACAACAACAACGTTCTACTACAACATATTCTCACCAAAGTGTTAGGATTCTCTATCGGTAAAACCGGTGGTTGGTTAGATACAACTGCAAACGGAAACCTGAGTTGCAATGGGTGATTAGGATGTTCCCGAACAACATGTTCAGGATAAAATCCGTCAGGACAGAAGTGATGAGAAGCAGGAGAAGAAAGTTGATCTTGAATTACAGGATCAAACACTTCTTGATTGTTATGCTGAGAGAGGAGGTCTCTCTGTTGGAAGTACTTCAGTTGACTCTGATGATAGTCAGGGGGTTCCTCCTGCACTAAAATCTCTTGTTGTCTGGGAGTATAGGCGGGTTGTATTGACTGATTTTGTGGTGGGTGCTGATGATAAGATGCCGCTTCTTCAAGTGTGCTTGGACAAGGAGTGTTTTCAYTGTGATCATAGCCTTCATTCAACTCACAATATGGCGGCGGAGGCTCAACCTCAAGAACATCTGTGTCGAAAATAAAAGAAATTACATTGAATATATCTAGATGTGATATTAAACGTTTTTGGCTTGAAAATCCATTCTTGAATATTCAAGAATAGATGTGATATTATTTATTCTGTTCAATATTATTGCTTGTTGCGTTAGAATTATACATTAATTTCTACAGTTATTTATAAAATAAAGGTCTATAGGTGAACACTACTACAGATGATATCTACTCAGAAGACTGCCATTTATTCAATAGTMTGGACTCTTATATTTTGAAAAATGRATRACGAAGTAGTCACGTCAGTATCAATGAATATTTCAGGAAGTAGATGAACAGTTACCTTCTTTGTTTTCCATTGAAATTGRACGTCGAAACCAACTTAAAACAAGATCGCTGGCATTAATAACACAGAGGCTTGGTTTCTACAAGGTGCTTCATCGAAAATTTCTCGAATATATAGTCCTTCACGATAAAAAAAATATGTCAATTCATATCTAGAAGAGTCATTTTAAATACATGTTAACATATTAGTACAGGAATTAGAAAGGTAGTAAGCTAAAACAATAACAGCTTTTAAGAGTACAGTCAATGACAATAAGTTGAATTCATTACAAATTTATGAATGACAGATCATATCGAGTATACAGTGGAGTACGTATACACACCCACATATTGCCACCATTGGCCAAATACGATGACCGCTAATGAAATGCGCGTTAATAAAACAAGAAATGGTTTGACTTGACTATCATCAATACGCTAAGCCGGCTGCACAATGAACACTAAGGTAAGCTGGGGTGAAGTGAATAAAACTACTTTATATKAGACTTTCATGAAATTAACGCGAATTTGAAAMYACTGATCGCGTTAAATTGAGTCGYGTTGGTTTATCTACATGGAACGTCAATTTCCATGATAATGATACATGGCGTATAATTACTTTCAATAAAAGGCATAAAACTGTGATAGACCAAGCTTGCCCTAAAGGTACTGAGGGCATAACTCGGACTAGCTGTGGTACACCATTCGCGTAGTTCTGACTTCGCGCTAAAATACAGAAGTCTCAATTGTTCAAGATCGTTCAAACTAAATRATTTCATTGATAGCAGAACAGCACGCGCTCTCGATAGAAAGCACTCGTCCTAGGGTTATAACCCGAATATGATTGACGGCTATGGTTATCTATGAAATAAAGCACTTGGGAATTCTGGTAGAACGCATTTGATTATTTTGCCAATAAATCAAGCCAATCTATCGCTCTTTGATGACTACCCATAGTACCTTTCGATCAAACCCCCGACAACCTTTTTTGAAATGTAGCCTATTTAGTTCCGTTTTTTTGTAAACAAACGTCACATGACATATCGTGATCGTTAAACTTCCAACTAAACTTCATAATGTATGAAGAAAGTACTCAACTATTGTCTTAAATCAAAGTTAATAATCAKYAACTATTTATGTAATAATAAGGACAACAGTTATTCAAAAGTTATTTAAGTTTCATTGATTCATTTTTGGTCGGTTCTATGTACGTTTGTCAGTCATTTCTAGTTCAGTTTGAAGTCCTTTCAGATCAAAATACTTCATTAGCTATAACAATTAACAATTACTTCCGAAGCAAATATATATATAAAAAAAACAACTAGCCGAACGCGTGCAGGAAACGAGTCAACATCAAAAAAGAATCATTTGAAATGTTACCTTTCGATTGCACCCTAAAAATCAGCTTTCATAAGTTGAATCTTGCTCGATATTGTTCGGTTTAACGTGTATACTTGCGTACACGGCGGAAAGATCTCGAAATTGTCGACGTTCCAATTTATCGTCGGTTCGATTGTTTGAAGCGCTATTACTAGTATTCAGACAGTTTCAGCATCATGGTCTATTAGCTATTCATGATGATGGGTGTGAACTCGAGCGTTATATCGGACTGTGTTTTTCTGTACAGCTTGACTTGCTCCAAGTCTCCCACTATTTACTCTCGAGTGACGACGAACATTACATCTACATAGTTCCAGCACTTGCCAACGTTCATTGGGTTGATTATTTCAATATATTTATTAATTATATCCATTTGAAATCACAAGTGAATCCTGCAATCTGATTTTTTTAACGACTTTATTGGGAATAAACTAATGACAACATGAAGAACAAATAAATAAATAAATAAAGTCTATTGGCCCAAAGGGGGCAGCACGAACGATTGGTTCTTAGCCGGTTGATTTCAGCCTAAATCGCACCATTTTGAACTCTTAATCACATTCCTTTGAGAAGCAAATATTGTATTTGTACGAATTAATAAAATTTTATGCTGTACAATGTGTTATATTTCAAAATGGATATAATTAAGTGGTGTCGTGCAATTTTGGTTCGAAATCAAACGTGTGATTACAAATCGCACTCCCGCTGAATCAACCGTTTGATTTCGAACCAAATTGCACTCCACCAGGTTCAATTACCATTATTAATATCATTTCACGGTTATAGAATGCAGCGACTTTACTTTTTTTTCCACGTCGCAGTTTAGCAATCCCAAGGGACCTATAATCCAGAGTTCCAAGGTTCGATCCTCGACTCGAGCATGTCTGAAAAATTCTTTTTTTTTTCTTTCTTTTTTTCTTTTTTTAACTGAAATATAGGTGTTCTAGTCATGTTAAATTTTTTATCTTAGCAATTTGTTTAATATTAATATCTACGAGCCGCGTTTGTTACTATTTTAGAAACAAGATGATTCTCGAACAGCGGCGTCGAAAAGACGATCGCGGGTTCGAATCTCGTCTCGAGAACTTTTTTTCTCTCTTTTACCTTGATTTTCTTCAGATTTTGTTTGATAATTATTTTCGAATCATTATTTTGATTTTACACAGATATTATTCTCGAATAGCGTCTAACTTTGGATCGCGGCCTTTATTCTCGACTCATTTTTTTCTTTCTTTTTAACTGAAATGAAGTTGTTACGGTCATGTTGATTTTTTTCTGTAGATATTCGTTTGACATTATTTTGATTTTTACACAGACTATCGTACTCGAATAGCGTCGAACTTAAGATTGCGTGTTAGATTCTCGAATCGATAACTGGTCATAACTTGAACTAACCGATTCTTTTCTTCTTTTTTTTACTGAAATATACTTGTTCTTATTTTTCATGTAGATATTTGTTTTACATATTTTACACGCAAGATCATAATAATAATAATCTTTATTGAGGAAACGTTTTCATTTACAAAGAAATGGTTTTCAAAAAGGACCTCATACTTGATTGAATAGCGGGGTTGAACTGACGATCTCGGGTTCAGAATTCTCGGCTCGAGCAGCTTCTAAACAATTTTTTTTTCTTTCTTGGCTTTAACTTTAAAATATACTCGTTCTTTTTTTCTTTCAAAAATAATTTTATGCAAAGCAAACTTTTATCTTAATAATTATCTAAGGATAATGTAAATGCAATCTGAATGCTAAATTTTCGCTGCAATGATAATAATTTTCAAAAAAAATGATGTGGAAAGATCATACGCAAAATCTATCAAATCGATCGCGGTGCTGGTAAAAATATATATTAGGGTAACCTGGACACGGTATGTTCCACGAAGTGGTTCTTGTTTTATACACTTTGACACTTCAATACAGTATTTGAAATTGATTCTTATTATCATTATTGTTACTTTTTTTAAATTGCTTGGAGTGGGAAAAAGTCCGAATTATGCAAAATTTTAATTCTTCGTTTWTCAAGCCTTTTCAAGTTACGTCACAGCGGCCATCGTGGAGGAACTTCAACTAAGGATTTCTCATTAGTATCTATTGTTCATTCCTCCAACATTGGCCGCCGGTCTTTTATCATTTGTATCTCTGGGAATGAATGAAAACTATCAATAGCCAAAAATACACGAAATCTTTCTGTATACAGCTATTTTCAAAAAAGTTAAAATATTGAATCGCTGTGATACTYATGCATTCAAGAACTGCAATGCATTGTTGACTCCAACTCTAAACATAATTGAATTGCTTTCCATTTAAGTTATTGGCTGAACGGGGCTAGTGGTAGCCTGGGGGGAGGAGGGAGGGGGGTAGCTTATTATCATTTTCGACATGGATAGAGCGACTAACAATGCAATTCAGTCTTGGAATACACTATCTTCAGTATTTAATATTTTCTGAAATAGCTGTAAATGTCGTTGTAAAAGTTACACTGATACTGAAMGCCATCACCCCSSGGACAAAGAGAGCAMCAASAAGAAGGTTGRAATGATGCCTATCCCACATATTATGGCAGCAATCGCATAGTTTCTGGCCGATTGACCGTAGCTTGCGGCACTGACAAAATCACCCCGAAGAATAGCATCACTTGCCTAAAGAACAAACAATAAACAAATTTGTTGATTTATTTAGTGAAGTAGTGTTTGAGCTTTTCAGGTTTCAGACTCACGTCGAAAGACAATGTAGGGARGATATTCTCGTTCTGAAAAACCATGAAATTCCTTTTTTTCTTTCTTTTTTTGTGTAAAATAGATTTACGGTATTTCTAAGAAAAATAAAAGATTTGGGTACGAGATCGGAAAGTGTTTTTGTTYACAATAATCTTACATTATTGGAGTTGATAATTGCACAAATTCCAAAGGGMCAGCAACAACACAGACAAGCAAACCAAGCCAGTCCACAATAGTCCTTTGGTGCGTATTCTGGASGCGTTACGGTTGGTGCAATAGTATGCTTGGCAAAAAAGAAATATATTATTAAAAAGATACTTGGGTTTGAAATGATCGATTACTAAAGCACTAGCAATGCAGCAGCAATTTGTACGCATTGTTTGCGTTAGTCGTCTCCACAGCCTAACTGATGCAGCGATCTCTGAAAGACAGGTGCCCTTATTACGCTTTTTAAGCTAGTGCCTAGTGTGCCCTCGACAGCATTTGACACGACACTACAGGAGGAGCCCACAAGGGCTGTTCTTCTAAATAACTGTTCTCGAACGAAGTTTTTCCTGGGAAAGGGATTTTGGGCTACGTTGTTGACAATCTCACAAGCAAATGTAGCGCCCTTGCTTCTTTAAAATAATTTTGTTCCTGGCAAACGATTTTAAGGTAAAAAAGGCTTATATAACGTTTTTATGGTCAAAAACGGCTTATAATTTTTTTTTTAGTTTGAACATTTTTATTTTCCCGGCAAAAATTCCTAGAAAGTATTCCTCGCCTGGAGATTTCTTTTTTCCTGAATTTCTAGCTGACAGCCAGTTGTGACTTACAGCCAGCTGGGACATATATATTTTTCCCAGGAACCCGTCGGCTCCTCCTAACACWATCYTTACCTGCACAACTGTAACATTGTGCGTGGTTGTTGAAGGCATAGGTTGCTGTGTAAATACTGTTGCGTACTGCTGATTGGAATAGGTTCCATATTGATTAGGCTGTGGTGGGTTTGGAGGTGGGTGGTATTGATAGCCTTCATTWTCTTGATATGGAGGTGGAGGYTYATTGAAAGGTGCTGTAAACAAGCAGAAAGAATTTAGAAAAAAACGATCATTCAAAATTTTACTGATTATGGTATGACTGTTCTCTTTTAAGAAAAAAATAACCCCCCTCTCCCCCCMAAAAAATAACCCATTGTTASCCATYGTTTTCTCTCKGTATTAAATCTAAGAATATAGAGTRATAACTACAGCAATTATTTAAAAATAATGCTGCCAGGATTTCGCAGTATCCCAAACATCGTTACTATAGTTTTATTTCATTGGTTTTTTTACATACCTTTATCTGACATACCTCACTGACGACGAACAGTCAGATACTGAAAAAGTGTTCAAATTTTTAGCAAATTCACCATTACAAGTAATTGTAGTAAATCAAGTAGAAAAATCGTTTCCCAAACTCATAATCGATTATGTTAGTGTCTCGGATTCATTTTAGGATCTGGTGGTTTTCTTCAGGGGGGGGATGCCTCCCGAGGAGGAGGCTCATTCTTGCGGTAAAGGAGAGACCAGGGGAATTATCAGTGTATATCCCTTTCACCTCGTACTGACGAGATCTCTATTTATTAAATTTATTTGTTTTTTCTTATAGCATAGCATTTGTTGCTCTTGATCCGGTTAAGAAATTTTGGCTGTTGTGTTCCTATTTATCTGTTACGACTCAGCTAGTGCGGATAACACAGGACCTTTACCTCCCCTCCCTTCCCAATTTATTGTGAGACTCAAGACTTGATCTTTGCTTCGAAAACGAAACATCCTTAACTGTATCACTACAGACAACGAGGAATGAAATTATGCAAAGGGAAATGACTCTCTCTACCTAATCAGCACAGAGGCCAGAGTGAACACTGAACGTTTTAAACAGTACTTTCCTGAGGCTGTCTCTGGATATAACTTCTGTATTTAATTAATTATTGTATTTATCAATCTATCCTCATGTAACATTGTGGTATTACACATTATCACATTATTATCACTCTCTCTCTCTCTCTCTGTCTACCAAAGTACAAAGAAAATAAAATTGCGATTATTCAATATTGTATGCTGTACTCAGACATGATAAATGACAAAATGGTGGGAACTAGCGGTAAACTAGTGTGAGCTGCGTCGGTGTTTCTAAAGAAACAGTTATGTGAAAAGATAAATTTAACACCGTAAAAAAGTATGTGGAAAAACGTCAGTAAGTTTTTCCACATACTTTTTTACGGTGTTAAATTTATCTTTTCACATAACTGTATGATAAATGACACTTTAGAAATAGCCAATGGTATCACTTTGTCTTATAGGTCTTATAGCACGACATCCTCTTTATCAAGCTAATTCGAAGTGATCATTTTAATTTCATGACAGCTTTTTCCGTTATGTGTTTCATTCTAGATCAAGATATCGAGTGAGAATGCTCTTTGATTGGATTAAAATAACCGTTTGCGTTTGCAAAGACATTAAAGTACTGTKTCGCGGTAAATTCAATCAAACTCGCATCAAATCAGTTTATCATACATGTGAGCGTTAGACGGAAGGTCTAGAAGTAATGTACTTTCAAAAATAAATGTGCCGTCAAACAAGTAAGATAAAAGAACACTTACTACAGATACTTGACTACAGAAGGCCTCAGTTTGATGTGATCACTTTGTTTCAATTCCAAGAACCGAACTACAGGAAGCCCGTCAAAACACAATATATTCGATGAAATCCTCAGCAAAATTTAAGAAAATAGAAAACAATGTTCCATGCTATATCAAGTCCTTTGGATTTTTCCCTTGCAMTTGAAAAGTATGTATAAAAATGTTACGCTGAATCTTACACCGAATATCACRTGGGTTTAAGTCACATGACGAACAGGAACTTAACATGAAGATTTGAATCATTTGCGTTGAACTCGGGTCATGAGGCATCCGACACCAGGAACGAGAATAATACCCAATGAACAATTCAACTCCATGAATCATCAAAACTGACTTGAATTATTGAGGTTATTTTTTTATCTTGCACAGAAAATAAGACAAAAATATTTTCCTCAGTCGACAGATTACAAAGTACACCCCAAGTACCGTAGCCTTCTCCGACTGATCAAGCTCCTGGCGGTGTAGCCAWTAAAAGTATGACATTTATCAAAACACGATACATTGCGGTTCTATATTTGGACAGAATACAAATATGCCAAAATTTCCATTGTTTTTGGACATCTTTCTCCTATGTAAACATACTGTGACGTCATAATGTCATACTGTGACGTCATAATGTCATACTGTGACGTCATAATGTCATACTGTGACGTCATAATGTCATACTGTGACGTCATAATGAAATAGGGCAATTCGGTGAGAACTATGCAAAATGATGCATTAGTGAAATACGAAGAGTGACACTTCAATGTTTAGAATTTCAGCTTTAATACAGACAACTTATAAGTAGCATAAAACTACAATGATATTTATAAATGCTTCAATACATATTTTAAAAGACGATTTTATTTCTACTTTAAGTATGCACCTATGCCATAGGTCTTGTCAGGGTCTGTGAATACCTTAACCAAAACATTGTAAGTGAATATATAGAGAGATTATACAATATTTTTCTAGTGCTAAAGCTGAACTTGACTTAGTCCCAAAGTATTTGTATAAACAATGAACTCGTTTGGCTTTTTATCTAGGAGTACTTTCCCTATTTCTGCTTTCACTAACATTTATATTATAACATATAAGAGACAAATGATGTACAAAAGCACGTCTCTACATTTAGCAATGCCTTGTGTCTTGTGCTTTCATGCATGATGTTGTTTATGAGAGGATTGATTTACTGTTAATATAAGTTTGTTGATAAAAAATCTATTTGCATACCAAAAATCTAATGTAACATTAAACTCACAAGCAGTTTACAGCTTTAGTTATATTCATTGGAAGTAGCAATATAAGCAGAGTATACAACAACCCTTAAGATAACCCCTATGATGTACAAGACAATGCCACAGCCAATTGCGATGTACGCATATTTTCTTGCTAATTGACTGTATGTGTTTGCCATGGCCAAGTCACCTTGAACGATAGCATCACGTGCCTAAGAAAATATAGCATTCAGTATGAAAATTACAAACAAATAGTTGTCTGACCATGTAGCTTGAGGGTGACTACTGTACTGCTGTATTTATTTTTATCTATTATAATCTTCTTAAGAAACAGGCTCTTTGCACTGGCAGTACCCTTCTCAAGTGGACCACATTAAAACTCAAAAACAGGCTGAGAAGAATGCTATATAACTTACATGGTTTGAGTTGATAATAGCACAAATTCCAATGGGCCAACAACAGCACAAACAAGCAAACCAAGCCAGTCCACAGTAATCAGGGGGGAATACTGCACCAACTACCATTGGTCCACCAGTTTGCTAAAAACAAATGTTTACACATTAAATCAGTAATAATTAAATAACTGTACTTATTCAAGGGTACCAAAAATGATCTAWTAAATGCCCACTTTCTAATGAACGCCTCCTATTTAATGAACGTCCCTATGTCCTATGTCCTATGCTTACAAGTTTGTATTAAACGCCCCCTTTAACAAACGCCCCCTGTCTATTAAACTCCCTCCCCTTCCCCTTCGTACAACCATTCATCACTACATCAGAAACAAACGACTTTTTGAAATGCTGGTAACAAAAATCAATTTAATTGTCTTCTTGCTTCATTATCACTGGTGAGTAACGTCTTGTTCAATTTTTAGTTCAAAATGAGGATAAYGTTCTTTAATTTTTCTGAATTCATTGCTTAGWATWTCAAYWKTTTTTTGCGTTTTGTCCTATTTTGTCCTARCAGTATAGCGACCAGGAACTACAACAAGGCCTACTTCGATCCCTTTTTTATAAGTTATTAGTCATAACATGTGTTACATTACTTTGTCACAGTTTTATTTTAGAATAAACACCTCTCTCTAATAAATGATGCCTCCTGTCTATTAAGCGCCCCCTCCTTGGACCATTGAAGTTTAATACCCCCCCCCCCCCGGAATTTATTACATCATTTACGGTAACATTGGAAAATGTTATAAGATAATAAATAAAAGTAACAACAATTGCAACAACAATTAACTTTTTGGAGAGGATTACTTTTAAAATATAAATTTGGACTTACAACAACTGTAACATTTGTGGATTGTGTAGAATGCATGCCTCCAGCGGGCATGGGCTGTTGATTATACCCGGGATATCCAGGTTGACCAGTTGCAGGGGGGTACTGTGCTGGGTACCCTTGTGGTGGGTACCCTGGTTGACCYTGGGGAGGGTAGCCTGGTTGACCCTGAGGAGGGTASCCTGGTTGACCCTGRGGAGGRTAYCCTGGTTGACCMTGAGGAGGGTATCCATATGTAGGATTYTGCTGTCCTGAAAGATCAGTGTTGGCATATGGYGGTGGTGCATCTTGAGGAAGTCCTACTACACACAAAAATAACAATAAGCTCACAGTATAATGTTGAATTACCTTGAAAGCCACTCTCTTATTCATCAGAATGAATTCTTCACTGTATGGTATAAAGTTTCTTCAACAGACAAAAAACCTTCCCTTTAGACTTCAGAGGAAAATCACCCTACTCTCCCCTACTAATCATTTATTTTCTATATTCAGTACTGTCCAATCATTCAAACCAAACAACAATTTCAGAATACATCAAAACATTTTATTGTTTTATGACTAAGGATTATGGATTAGAGTGACTTTATATCAAATAAAATGCATATTAGCAATCAGATATCAAAACACAATGCATTTAAGTTCTCAGAGAATATAAATGGGTCCAAATTTCAACTGTTTCTGAGCATCTAAATCTGATGTAACATACATTGATGTCATATACAGTTAATACCATCATTTTCATTAATTTTTGTGTGTGTTTGGTTTGCATGAATGCTAAACTAGTCTTAATGTATTGCTARGTTAGGTTGTTTTCTGTATTAGCTGCTCAATCTCGTACCTTGTTTCTCAGACATTCTGGGGAAAATACCTTCAAAGAACAATAAAATCAATATCAAAACAAGATCTTAAACTGAACAACAACAAGTGAGKTATGAAACTTTTAGTCCAACCCTTTAATAACAATTATTTTCTCAGTTTTACTAGTAAWATCAAGTGTTTTTGCAATGGACATGTGTTTATTATCAACGAATTCGGAACTTCAGAGTTTCATTACTTTCGTTTCATCGAAGTCAATGCTGCAAAAATACCTTTATGAATACCTTCTTTCGCAATCCGAATCGTATTGACTTATATTGTTAAACCTCTATGCGGTGAAAAATAAAAACTTTAATAACCATAAAAGAAAATATAATCACGAAGACGCAAATTTGTTCAAAAACAAAAAAATATACTTCCGGTCTGTCGAAACTACCAAACAGTTGCAACAATTTGCAACAATATTTGAATAGAAAAATGTTACATAAATACAAGTGATAAAGATCGCAATAAATGCTGTAAAATGACAAAAACAAAGCCAACCAGTTGCTTATRAATTCCGTCAAGTAGCTTCTATGTTTTGTTTGAATAGCGTGACTAGCACTATTTAGAAGGCGACAATAGAAMTCGTTTCTCAACAACCSTCAATAAATACACATTTTTAGTCATACATATATCTATCTGAATTGAATTGGATACGAAATACGGTTGAATGTCGCTTAGTCAAAATAAAACCGTTTATAGCTAGTCAAAAGACTATGCGCCTAGAATAACGACTTAACGTAGGAGATATTGCATSGCCAGGGGCGGTACAAGCAKTCTCGTGGCCATAGAATTTATCAAACACTTTCTATTCCCTTTAGTATGACCGTATAACGTATAGCTCAAGAACGAAATGCTTTAGGAATCTAGGGATTCTGACAATGAAACCTCGTGACTGCCAAGACGGAAGCGACTTTGAAAAGCCCTGATGGCCAAATTAATTAGAATTAGGTAACAGATTTAACCTACAATGGATAATACCTTTTTTTCTTACCTTGTTACCTCAATACTCAAATAGAATCCTTCGAAATCACGTCCTTTGAGAGTCTTACTACTGAAGAGCACCCAACGGCAGAATCACGCAGAGASAGGATTATGGGTCTCGACATTGACGTCATTGAAAGTCAGGGGATACGCCCAGATAAAGGTGGCCCGGTCGTTTCTTCGCTTCATTCGAGTTGTACTTACAGTAAATGTTTTGAAATTGTACTATAAATTTGACACTGTCATATCAATGATAAAACTATGAAATGTGGTTTTATGGTCCGGGATGATGACCAAGGAATTGCGGTTTTCATTTTCAAAGCGGAAGTCCTAGCTAGACTGCATGGTCGGTTGGTTTACAATTTGAAAGGTCTGTCATTGTGATAGTATACGAACCATTGTCAATGATTAAGTAATAACGTTACGTCAATCATAATGGGGTTATATGCAGACCCTCTTGCCTATATCACAAAATGTCATCCAATCACATTAAAGATTGAGCAATATTTACATGAAAAACTAATAGACCATGATATAGAAACACGTACAAAGTCTGAGGTTCTTCCTACATTAAAACTAGTATGAGTGAAATCGTTGAAGATTGCTGGAAAAGATCCAGTTCCAAGGTAACATTTTTCATTCACATACTTGCAACAATGTTGCAATTTCCCAATGTTGCAAGTCGTAGATGTTCTTGAGATTGATTTGTTGAGAAGCTGACTTTTTGTACAAATTTTAATGTTAGACTAGTTGTTTGTTCGGCAATTGAGAAGGGCAAAAATTGCATGGGGTAAGGCCTAGCAAAAAAAAAAATGAACAAGTCGAAATCAGGAATCAGTTTCGAATAGTTTTTCTTCTTATCCTTTTCTTTTCTTTTCTTTTCGAGGTTTAAACACTAAACACTACGTCGCTAAAATATTGCCGGAAACTAACCATCACATTTGGTAATGAGTACTGAGTCAGTTAAGTCTGCAAATACACTTTTAGCGCAATCATGAAGGAACTGGGTACTAGTAAGTTAAACACATTAAGGTTTAARCGAGAAATTGGTCATATTTTCCACTTTGTCCTAGTCCATGGAAGGCTCAATTTTTCCCTTTTTTTCTCGAATTTTTGAGAAGAGTGGCAGCTTAMTTGTCGCAGGTTTCGCTGAGTCTTTTATTAGTGACCGTTAGTGAAATGAAATTGTTTTCATAAAAGCACTGACAAAAGTACCCTTTCTTTCTCTTGGGGTCAACAGTTCCTGTGTRGGTAGATAACCGCCGCACAAAGMTTTTTATAAATCTCCTGCAGACTTCTGGAATTTAGAAAGTCTGTTAAGATCGGTTAAAAATTTGTTAAAACAGTAAACTGAGGGACAAAYGGCTTAGTCGGCAAAGTATCGTTAATTCTATCCTGGGTAACTCCGATCCATATTTAAGTGGTTTTGACAATATGGTACCATTGTCAATGAAAACACACTGCCTTCAGGTATGATTTCATTTTATGTYTTAAAGCAATCGAGCTAGCAAGCACTATACATGTCAGTTCAAAATTTGCGGCGAAGACCCACAAAGACCCCCGCCACGCAGATAACTTGGTTACCTTGAAAGGTGTTTAATGAAGATTAGTTTTATTTTAAAATAGAGTAATTATATCGACTAGTTGTTTTTGACAAAGGTTCAACGGCAATTTCAGTGTTCCATTTCAACACATTTATGCAGAAAAAGAGAATTMAGTGTTTGTTTTAAAAAAGAATTCTGCTTGCGCATTTTACATAATTTATCAATTTAAATAAACAAAAAAATTCACTAAAAGCCTAGATATATATAAATAGAGATCATGGCCTTGTCGCCGTATGTTAGCACTGAATATKGAATGATGAATGAACAGTTCCAGTTTGCTAAGCAAGGCAGTGCATAAAATTATAAAATTTGACATGCATGCAGGCATTTTGAAGGTTACGAAAACGGAAGTTCTAGGGCTGTAGGTATAAAAAAAAGTTTAAGCTAAAACTCAAATGCAGCGTTCTCAGTTTAATTCAACTGCCGGCAGAGTAATCGGCCTAAGTTTCAAGCTTCAAGGTTCCATGGTTAATTTCCCAAAGTAAATCGCCGTTGCAAAAATAATCAGTCACATTCCCCGCTAAAGAATAGATAAAATCCTGCTAGTTATAATTCATAGCTTCCGTGARTACCCTCGTGAACAGCTGTGTTTTATAGTTTCAACTACAGATCACTATCACATCACGAAATCGACGGATCTCGTTTTTAACGAAAGAATATCAAAGGGAAGGAAAAATTACATTAAAAACACTGAAGATGCAAAATCATATAAATAAGAATTGATAACTCAGCGCGCACGATATAATATATTACTGAAAACACATTCCCCTTAAATGGTAAAATACTATACGCTGCAAGTATAAAGTTTCACATGCATGTTAGTTTTCCATTGTCTTATTCCATTCTCATTTAGATTGAATTTGGCCGTACATGTAAAATTAAAAGTTTGATCCAGATTAAGTTGACTTGGAGACAGATTATTGATCAAAACATCCCAAACAAACTGATTTCAGCTTGTTATATGGGTTAATCACGTGGCTCGAACGATTACACATATTTTATGATAGCTGATACGGGAAGAAGGTATAACCTTGGCAAATCAAAAAGGCAATAAAAGAACTATTTTTATTTTTTTCATGGAAAGCACATTAAAAACCTCTTAAAGAAACAAGAGAAACACTATCGCGTAGGACGTGGCCCAGTACTTCTTTCGCGGATTTTCTTATCTATAAATACACATAAACTGCTTCAGTTACAAAAATATCCTGAATGACCTGAATTAAATTCTGGACGGAATGGTCAACTAATTCTTTCGTAATACACGATGACAAAAGTTTGAATTTTTACTAATGAAGCAGGCATGAAAGCCTTTTTGATATCCGTTAATAAGTCTTTTTTTAATAGGCCCTCTAGTAAACGCCGTACTCACGTCGCTAGATCATTTTTTCAAATGATGACGACAGTTTGCATCTGGTAAACTTCTGCTTATATAAGATGCCCGAACCCACGGCTTGGTAAGATACTCAGTATTTCGTGAGAAGCGTTGCGTTCAGGCTCTTTGCTACAAGCAATATTRTGTATAGGTAAGTTTATTCACATGGCCCATTCTTTTCTTACATGCTAGCGCGTCCATGAAAAAAATRAAKAAAGAACTTTGCTCGTTGGTATTACTCCGAAAGACATCCGATCCTCTTACATGCTCTTATATCTTTTGCAATTGATTCTTGAGTATTGAATACTAAAAAAGCGACATAAAATGTAAAAAATTCAAACGAGTTGGGATATCTAAGGACACTTAACTTATTATGAAGAATTTAAAGTAATTTCACAAAATATAAATTGCGATACCAAGGTGTATTGGAGCCGACTTGATACAAAAGGTTGGCCATGCTGTTCAATGTCAAACCTGCGTCTGGTTGAGACTACGTAACTATACAACCGAATGGCATTGTAGGAATTTTCAAAATCAGTTTTAAGCTTTTCCGGTTTCCTTTATGATTTTCAGTTTGTCCTCATGTATTTTTGCTGTAATAAAGACCTACGGAAGTCTGCATACAAAAAGTTGGTCGTTATATGTCAATCCTCGTCAGTGTCTCATAATTCATGCTCCCATCTCCTATCATGCGTCCCATCTGGCTAAATGATAATCATGATTCTTGAGTTATGACTCCAATGGAAATCAATTTTGATAAGAAATAGCTTTAATTGCTTTGTAAGCAATGTAAAACAGGATATAAGGCCATGTGACAGCAGGAAGACGGTTCACTAGATGAGGAAAACTTCAAATTAATGAGTGGAATTCAGTAAGAAAAATCTCACAAATCTAATAGTGACATTTGATGTTTTCTTCTTTCACGTATTTTAAAACGATGTTTTGGAAACTAAGGCCAGGGTCAAAACGATGAATGGCTTACATGTTCCCTGGATATTTCAATACAGATTTAAAATAATTCTACTTAGCTGAAACAAAAGATCAGAGTAATTTTCATTGAATTGGAAATGTCCAATTCCAGGTACGAAATTGAGCGAATTTGAAAGCTTTTTCATACTTCCTTAAATAACTTTATAACAAGTTATACAAGCGACTTCTATATATATATATATTACTTGACTTTTCATGACAATGTGATGGCTGTTAATGGACGCCATTTACTACAACCCTAAAGCTATAATTAAAGAAGGCAACGACCGCGCAGATCCGAACAGCATTTATCAATTAATCCCTATCCATACTGTGCMAACCCCTTAAACTGAACATTTGCATTTCAAGTGCTGCTACCATATTTAAAAATAAACATTATTTGAATCATTTAGAAAARGAATGATATTTGGCTAATGTTTCTATGGAAACGAAGGCTACAACAAAGTGGCGTCTATCAAAACCTAGAACACCTAGAACACGTTAATTATGCCAATCTATATTCGAGCAGGCTCATTCAATTTGATATTCATGATATTTAATCAAATGGTACAGAGACGAGCCTCCTGCAAGCTTTCTTTACTTAATACACATTTACCCCGATATAGCATGATAAGAACAATCCTATATCACGGTTATCTTATGAACGGTAAAAACGACGACAGCAACACAGACTAAACAAGAAACCAAAGTTGATAAAACTTGGCAAATTTAAGGCAATTTTGACTTTTTGAAGAGGTCGCTCCATGAGCCCTTACTTCAGCCTCGAACTTTGCCGCCGCTGATTTTCGAAGTCTGCATATGTATTTTTATGATTTGCATTGGTACTTGRTACATGTCTAGTATGTAATTTATACCAAATTAAAACAATTATTTATGACGAAATATATCAACAAAGGAACAAAAAAAACACCTTGTATCAATAAGCACCCACAAAAAATAAATAAATAAATAAACAAAAATATAAAAAAGAATTAAAGATCATTTTCATTTTTGTGTTGCTTGCATTCAGCGGTTTTCACGATGAAAAAGCATTGAAAATAGGGGCTTTTTAGACTTGCGTCATAATGCTTTTTCTGAAGGTGTTTGAATTGTCATTTTAGACGCGATCGATCTCTTTCATGCTCATGCTATCTGTATGATAATAATCCTCTTCGTCGTGAGTATTTTGATATCAGAGAAAATTAAACGGTGTATTCACTGTCTTGATAAATAACAGGGTAATTATTGCTAACAAGGATTTGTAAGGAAAATTTTCATTTCGGGCAATTTCTAATGTCTGTTTTAAAGTATCGTAGCTTGCATGGTCTTTGACAGGTAGCTGTCACTCAAAAGAATCCAATAAAATAAAAACACTCGAAACAGATGTCAATTGCTTTTCTATGACTTCCGTTTCTTCGTGGAGCAGGATATCAGTCCCAAGATATCGATTTTGCCAGTGCCGAACACACCGACTTTATTAGTCACAACCTTTTTTTAATCTTAATCTATTTCCCAAATATATTAAGTGAAGGGTCAATCGCACGTACGTCCTTCGAACATTTCCTACTTGTGCATGTATATAAGGTAAGATATTTGGCTTTTACTTCATCATAAATGAATACAATTCCTTCTCTATCATTTTACATGAATTTTTCATACATTTCGAATCGAGGGATGAAGATACAGGCAAACAAGGCAYTGCTTACCCGAGTGACATGACGTACAGGGGAATTTGTAGTTCAGATGCCTCAGAGTTTGACCTGGCTATGCTATTATTACACTTAAGTTTGAAATCATAGTTAATCGGYGAGACTTGTACGAGGGAAGTGTCCACTTTTCGGATCCGGTTTTTACTTTGGGGCTTCACTGAACAATAGGAGAAATAGGTGCAGACTTTCAGTCTGCTTTCATACCCGATTGCTCACGGCGGAATTGAAGCTCAGAACCGCATTCCAGATACATTACGGTTGYAAATTGATTGCAATGGAATTCGTTTCCGATCTCCAGAAATCTTAACTCTTTTCATTCCGTCTTGGAAATGTTCTTTTTCATTTCATTTTATTTCCGCACTGCTTTTTGAGCTTTCTGATGGGCTTCATAATATCTTTTCAGTCATCAGTACATGTATATAAGGTCATTATGTTTGCTATCCATTGCAATTTGACATTAAAAGCTGGTCAACCGACCCACTGGCCGAATKATTTTCTTCRAAACWGATGAYAAASAGTATTGCATTAGAATTACCGGGGAAAAGGCTGYGGCGGTGTGGGAAATGGACTTTTCCTTTTGCGCTTGCAATTTTTAAAATTGAAATCGAAATAGCTTTTTGAACCTGAATTTAAATACGGAACTGTTTTTAGAGGCAGACAGAACAGAGATAAAGAAAATAGATTATAACAAGCGCAAGGTCGGTACGTAGAAACATCGGATCCATGTCTCAACTGTAAGAGAAAAAAAAACCTTTAGGCGGAGCGTGAATAGTTCCGGGCGTACAGTTCTTAAAGACGAAGAACTGCAGAGTTTAATAATTGTTCATTGCATGTGTTTTTTCAACTATTTTGAAAATAGTTGCCAGACTTTTAAAAAAATATTTCCCTTTTGCCTACGGGTCGCCCACGGATTCTATGGCTCAACTGGTAAACAGCCAATCGGAGCGACTTTACCGTAGTGCAATAACCATCAAGCATTCATCAAAAGCACAAAGTGACCTATTACTTGAGTTTGTTAGTTCTTGAAATGACACAAGTAAAGTCTAATTCCATTTTCAACATTTTGGCAGCCTGGGTGTAAACGTGATATGCACGCATATTATTGTGACGCTAGCCAATTACATCAGTACTCTATGCCTCCAGCGAAGTGGTATAATTACAACACTTATCTAAATAGTTCTTCCACCTGGCAAGTATTTTTCTTTTTTCGTGACTCCCCGTGCTATTATTCACTAATACGAATKCACAACAGAGTGATCCAATATCAGCTGAATTAAAACAACAATGGGAGCAATCTAAGGCTAAGGTCAGTTCTCTTTTATACAAACTAACAAAATTCCTAAGCATGCTTAGTTAAGAAGATACCGTGATCTAAATTTACGTTTTTGCGGTGAAATTAAAAACTATATAAAAGTCAAATAAAAACGACAAGCGTGAAGGAGGCTCGTCATATAGCCTCTCCTTAACGGCGACAAACAAAAAGAACTGATTTGCAACTTGTCGTATTATTTTGAGCTATTTGTCTTTGAATTTGAGAAAGTAAACACTCAATGCCAATAATGACACCCACCCCCACCCCCCTTCCCCCCAAAAAATGCTTTTAGAAGCGATAATGAATAATGGACTAATGGACTCCTGATCCGAAAAAAAATCTTCTCCAACCAGACGGAAGCATTCAGTTGTTTTTACTGAAAGGCTAGAGTTTTCAAGCGTACATTGTCTTTCCGATTATTTGCTTGTTGCGAGACGATTTGTTCCACTGTCTAGACGGTTTTTTTTCCATTATTCCCTCTAGAGGTGAGTACAAAAGAGCTAAAAGTAATAAATGCGAAGAAGATGGGGATTTATTATAGGATCGCAATAATCRAGTTAATAATACAGTAGGAGGAGAAAGAAACGAGACAAACTCAAGAGGTATGTCTAGTCGCCAAAGCTTGGATCCGATATAAAGCATTTTAATGTTTTATAACCGTGCGTCAATTTGTATAGCACACTTTATTTCCACTGTGCTCAGTTTTTATCTCCCATCACAGAACTGCATCGATTTCCAGAAAAAAAAAATGCATCCATGTGCCCGTTTAGATCGCATCACTTATCAATATTGGATGCAGGTCTTGCCTTCTACGTGTACTTGTAAAATAATCTAAAAATAGAACAGGATACTGTGGAAGGATATAAATGTGATAAAGTGATCAATTGACGCACATCTCCAAAGGCAATATATTTTATTCCTGAACAGATTAATATATTGGCAGTTTGCTATGCAAAATTTTAACTTCTCGCTAATTTTAATTTCTCGCTTTTCATAGTGCTTTAGAAGAAATGAGAAATAAGAGTATAAAACACTTGAATATCCATATTTCTGTTGTTGGATCACGKGACATGGAGTCAGTGTTAACTCGGAGAGTCGTTTCCAACTGTCATCGCCCCTCGATGATCGATATTCATCACTTTGAATAAAAAAATCCTTTTTTTACCGCACACGGGCAGGCAGAGTGTAGGCAGATGCAAACAGCGAAAACAAAAAACAAAAAACAAGACACACTCACAAAATAAACATGTCGATTAAAAATTCTATGGAAGATTAAAGGTGGTACACCGATTTAGAGATTGCGAAGAATTGTCAATAAAGAAAATCGCGCTCGGTTGTTCCTCGTTGACGTTATATTTTCGCTCAGTTTATCTGTTCCTCACTAAAGCCCCAACACGAACCTTCAACATTWATTATTTATCTATTTGAGTAGTAACTGAAAGAGCGCGATCAGATTCGTATCTTCACCCTTAATGCCTAGTAACCACAAATTAAACAAGAGAATAATTATTGTCATTTTTTTTGGTAATTAGTATTGATATTTTAATTCTTCGTTTTTAAGTTACGTCACAACAACCAACTTGAGGAACTTCAACGAAGGATTTCAGTTCTTATCATTAGTAGCTATTGTTCATTCCTCCAACATGGCTGACGGCCTTTTATTCTTTTGAATCTTTTTGAATCTCATGGGAATGGTTGAAAACAATCAATATTTTGATTTTCAGTAAATAGAAAAAATAAAATACATAAAAATARAAAAATAAAATAAATAAAAGTGAAAAAATATACCATCACAAAATTAGTCAAGCGGTAATATGTTCATTCAGCTGCAACACGAATCGTAAGTATTAAAYAAACAGCYGAGGACGGCTTACAGAAATTCAAGTTTTAATTTGTCTAAACTGTCAAAGCTCCATCAAGTCTATTATTAGATATTAAAGAAAATGTCAAAAGAAAAACAGTCAGATAGTTTAAATAGGCCATGAATCTAGCCCTTGTGAAAGGCGGGCAACTGGAGGGGATATATGAATGATTGTCCATCTGGAGTTGCTGTTACATTTATTTTAACTATTTGTACAAAAGAAATTCAGGAGAGTATARTATCGATAACTGACGAACAAAGCATGCCATTTGTTAGAACTGTATAAACGAGATATCGAACGTTGCGAGCTATAGTAAAAGGAGGTTTTTCGTAACCAGCAAAACTGCGTTACTCAGCGCGCACTTGCTCTTTCTTTTTGMTTACCTTACAAAACTTTTTCAGCTTCAATTTTTGGAAAACTTTTAATATAAACCTCTCATAATGTATTGCTTACGAATGTCAAGTATTAAGTATTTAAATGTTTCGAACTGAACGTATTGAAATTAGTTGCACAATGACAGTCTGAGAATAGCTAGAGGGTATTGCTCTCCTCTCCACAGGACATCGTTATCAGTAAAGTACAAGAGCCTCTAAAAGAATATTAATACTAAATACTGTGTGTTTTTAGGGCTGTTCTACATTCTGAGAAAGAGGATTGAGCCTGTTTAACTACGTTTCCCGAGTTAAGAAACCCTGTCTTCCTTTCAAGGTAATTTTTACATAATGAAGTTCWTTTATAATACATTCATCAAAAAATCATCAACATGCATACAGCTTGTTGAATTTTGTGGTCATATTAAAATATAATCATTTCGTATTTATGTTCTGGAGTTAACTGCCTTTTCAGTTAGCGTGATCAAATCAAAAGATTGGAAATCGAACRAGGCTCTCACGATGACTTCAACGGCGGTCACCCCTACTAGTGCAGGTAAGCCGTGTGTATGATACGAATTAAGAACCTGTAAGATCATGTCCGTTGGCARTATTGGAGGTGCAAAAGGATTATTACTAAATATCACAATCGCTCGCTTTCGATATTCATGCTGAATGAACAAAAGAACTGAATACGAGGCTCAGGGGAAACGAATATTTATTTAGTTTTTTCYTTAAGAATTTGTCTACGCGAGTTTTCTAGTTTCACGGCTCTGCCGCTTTATTACAATAAACTTTCATTGATGAAGTTTTTGAAATTTCYTTAACCACCACTTCCCTCCTCTCTTTCACCTCCATCATACATCAACAAGTCCATCCCAAACAGCTACTCTATTTTGAAATACTTCAAAGTGGACAAATTATATGTCTACTCTTACAAAAAGAGTTTATGCTTTGTTGATGCACCTGTTTCCATCTCGTTGAAGTTGTCCAACTGTTTCCCGTTAGTTGCAATAATCAAGAGAATCAAAAGAAAACCAAAACACATCAACTTGTACCAATGTGTGCTTTTGAAATGTTAGGCTCGCAATTCATGATTATATTAAAATACACTACATTCACGTCTTCTTTGTAATTAATACCGTTACATGTAACACAATATCAATAGTGAATCATGGTTTCGTCGTTGGGTATCGATTTCACCGCAAAAAGCGGCTTGGTCATTGATTGAAAAAAGATATCTAGTTTGTATAACGACAGTCTTGAATGTAATTTTCTAATTTCGCAAAAAGGCCGTCGTCTTGCTGTTTTGGGTTTCCTCTAGGGTACATAACAAGTCTTGTCATGCGCTTCAGGTCTATACGATTCTCGGAATGTTTTTGACTGGTTGATTCATAGGCCGCCCAATATTTAGTATGTACTCGCGAGGCGCGGGATCGTGACGTAACACCACAGGTAACCCGAATTTTTCTAAGACCACGCGCCGATAGCATATACATAGCGTGCGCATTCGTTCTTTTCTGTCTCTAATGTAATAGTTGGGCGGCCTATGGTTGATTGCCTGTTTCACCACCAAACGGCTTGTGATTTGATTGGCTGCCGGTCTGATTGACGKATTGACAGGTTGATTGTCTGATTGATTGAAATGTTGATTGAGTGATGGATTGATGGATTCACAAGTTGAATGTTTGATTACATGATTAACTGACTTCAATCCACAATAGGAAATGGAAGCACTCCCTGTTATAAGCCGCCAGAATATAACATCCCAAGAGTTGTAGATCTTTACATCAATGTGGCAGTAGGCATCATCCTGATCGTTTCTATAATTGGAAACATCCTAGTTGTGCGTGGAATATGCAAAATACCAACCAGACCTGTCAGTTATCTCTTGATAGGAAACATTGCTGTAGCAGAACTCATCGAAGCGTCGAACTATTTTTTTGGTCTGCATTTTTCAACTAGACCATGGGATTGGATATTCGGTGAGACGATATGCCGTCTAACTTTTTCTACAGGCGTGTGCTGCATTACAGTCATTTCGTTTACTTTAGCAGCCCTTTCCGTCCATCGATGTTGCATCTTGACRAGACCTCGTATTCACGTGACCAAAGCAAGGTTTAACGTCTATGTTGTGGTAGTGTTCTCATGGCTGTGGGGGGTCTCCATAGCCACACCCTACACAGTTGTTGGTTGGGTTGTAAAATACCCACTATGCAAAGGTGGAGTAWCTCGTTCGTGCAYTTTTGAMACCCCGCACGACAAGTCCATGTCCACATACATCGGTTCGATTCCATTCATCGCGCATTATTTGGGCCCTTTGCTGGTGATTGTGATCTCGTATGGTGTGGTCGTGTTTGTACTCAAGAAACACATCCAAAGAACAAGAAACGAAGAACTCGAGATGACAGAGAACGTCACCGAACTGACAACCGAAACCAATGGCCATGACGATCCAYCCTCTGCAGAAACCGACCGACGCCATAGCTGTAAAATCGTCCAGATGGAGCTGAGGCTGTTGAGAATAATCTTMGCGAYAATTCTTATCTATCTGATATGTTATAGCCCGGAAAACTTCGTGTACCTGGCCATGTGGTTCAAKTGGTTCCACATCGATGAWGACAAGAAAATGTCGTTTCGAAAACATACSAACCTTCTTCATGCGCTCTCCATGGCTCTGCATCCAATTTGCTACGGTTGGATGTCAGGAATAATTCAGAGAAACTTCTTTAAATGCGCAGAAAAAAATCAGAAACCAAYTTTAATTCATAATGTTCTAAAGTAAGACGTGAAAGAGCATTGGTCAATTTAGCTTCTTCTCTCGTAGCCGKTATTTGCGCTCGTTCCCAGGTCTTTAACAGCTCCTCATTGGAGACTATGGCCAAATTTCGATGAAAATCATAGTGACAATATATMCTCGTCTTTAAAATACATTTAAAAAAAATCCGGTGTTACCCAGGTCTCTACCTTAAAAACATCTAGGCTAAACATTTTTATAGAAAACCTAATTCTAATTTTATGGAAGCTTTTTAAATTTAGATTAATATTTGTCTAAACTACATTTATTCGTGAGATTTTCCATATTCTTATCCTAAAAGTAGAAATATAAGCTGCCAATCGYATGGATTTTTCTCTGAGAACAAAAAAACAACAAAAGTTCGTTTTCACAACTTCGTTTTATTTCCACAAGGAGCTCATTTACACATGTTGATTACAGAAATCTAAAAGTAATTTTAATAGCACACAGACAACTACATTATAATACGTACATTGAGAATACTCATGACAGTTTCTTAGCYTTGTTGTACAGAGCGTCCACAACACTTCCCATCTGATGAACGAGATCCAACGTATGTTCATAGGTCTTGTCAGGTGAGGCATCATCAAAGACAACAAGAACACCAGAACCTTGATCAAGAATTCCTGAACGAAGAATATCGATGGACAATTTTAAGGTTATATTCAGTATTTACACAATGCGCACATTTATTTAGAAAAAAAAAACCTAACGCGTTCAAAATGTATTATAATAAGGCTAACGCAACAAGCTAAAATTTGCGCGTTTTTATTTTGCTCCTGGGTGATAATTCCATATTTCCTAGCATTATAAAAACGTAGTCTTCGTAAATAGAGTTTTTTAAATKTCCAGTAGGTGAATTATAGTTTGCACTGCGCAAAAATTGACTCAGAATAGAGAGACTGGTGGGAGAAATTAATGTCTTTTTTTGAAATGACAGAAACTTGAAATGAGAAAAACGACCTGTCACTTTTCTAAGTAGKTACCATTAATATATCCTGACGGGTTTCAGCAGTGCTCTTAGCTTTTTACAAATGCCAATTAAGGTGGCTTCCCATAGCTTTTTTTTCGAACATAACTCTCCTTTTAAATTCGCTTTTTGAAAATCTTGCCATGCACGGCTTTATTATCCATAAAATATTTGTCAATATTACTCGAAATGGAACAGATTATTTTGTTTTCAACTATTCCAAAACGTTGTACAATAGTTTGAAGTTAATGATGATGTCTACGGCTTTTCTGGATCTCATCAATTTTTTTGAGATATTTGGCAAAAACGCCGAATTTTGACAAAATGCGATTTCCGTCGCCTAGGTAACGTTGATGGAGCTGAATATTATGGCAAACAAAACTTTGGTCAATACTTTAATACTGGTCCAGACACCAATTAAATCGGTGCATGGAAAGATTTTCAAAAAGCAAATTTAAAATGAGAGGTTTGGTAGAAAAAAAACTTTAGGAAGCCACCTTAAACGAAGTTGTGGTGGAACAAAAATGAAAACAAGCTTTTAAACTTTTACCGTCGTGAAAATTTCATATTTTCACGTAAAACTATCAATTTCTATTATTAATTTCATCTGCCAAACAATGTTTTTTTAAGGGCATAATAATTATTGTAATACTAGTCAAYTTTAAGTTTATTTGAAAAATACCTACCATGAAGTTTCTTGTCTAAAATCATCTGTGAAAGYTTTTTCTCAACCACATTCTGTAAAAAGAGCAAACGTTTTCCTTTTAATCACAATGTATAAATAAAAACAATTTTTCAATTTTTGCGAAGTAATACAACCATCTTATTTAATCAATCACTAAGTATCAATGAACTATTTACCGCCTACTACAGTTAAGGCCCGTTTACACTTGCAATTTTTGCAGCGCSATTGTCGCGCGACAATCGCCTTAGTTTCGAACATGCTTGAAATTTAGCTGCAACTCGCGGCGATTTTTGATCGCCGCGACAATCGCGGGGCTGTTTACATGTACGATTTTAGGTGCGAGAGAACAAAGTGGCGATTGTCGAGCGACAATCGCGCTGCAAAAATTGCAAGTGCAAACAGGCCTTTAGTAAGCTATAAAAGGCTTAAGATTGATAACTCTTTTAGCAAATTTATTGTTTTTAGCTTCTGAGTACTATTATAGTTTATCTAATTATTAAATATAACCAATAATCATAACCATTAAATGCTTTAGAAAGTGCTTATAAATGTATTTTGTCATTATTCTCATAGCCAGATCTCCCTCACAGTTTTAAGGAAACATTTGAGAAGGATCTGTTGTACAACTTCCATATATGGTTGGGCTATGTACAAATAGAAGGCGGAGTATAACTTAGTAAATTTTTAAAGAACTGAAAAGAAATCTTTGAAGGAGGYGCAAGATTTGAACCAACGCTGTATGCATTGCCTAATTTTCCCTAAACCTAACCATTAAGCCACAAGACCAATTTGCTTGAGTGAACCAGAACGTTTCTGATATTTATACAACGACATACAAGAATAACCATGTATATGTAGATAAGATTGAATATATAATTARTGAACCTTCTAWAGGGACATGAGATCCTTCTTTAGGTACATCAGAGCAATGCATATGGACATCCATATATGGAAGTAGAACAGACTCTAATCAAACATTTGTCATTTCAAGCCACATGATTGGCTAATTCAAAGTGTGATTGACATACCAAACATGGAAAAATATTGCTTGCTTTCGGATAGATCTAGGGATTGATGTAACTGAAAACCCTATAAACYTTTTTTTCATCACATTGGGAGTGGGGTCTGGGCATGAGAATAATGTTATTTTGAATATTAATTAAGTTTGTAGTATGATACTGATGAATAAATATCAGTGAATCACAAACATACAGTGTACTTTATAACTAATATTCATTGTTTGTTGAGCACCTGTGTGTGGAAATCTACATTTGAGACTTGTATTTACCTGAGGTAAACTGATAAGCTTGGCAACATGTTCGATCTATGAAAAGAAAAAGAAATGTTAACATACCAATATCCACCATCTTTCTTCTTTATGCCTTATGGCACATAATGCCMTCAAATAATATTTCCATTTCTGTTGGCTGCTTCAGCCCTAACTTTGTCCCATGACTGCCATACCATTTTTACTATATATATATACTATGTTTTATTTGCAAGATATTTTACAAAAATATGGAAGTTGTTGAAGAATATTCCTGGCCAAAACTGGTTAATTCAATCTACAGTATTATTCAACACTCATATTTACAACCCCTTGGTACAAAGTGATGCAAAATATGATAATTGTGTATTTGGT